TTAATCAACATCACCTACTGATGAGTAATGTCAAAGATTAAATAAAGGAAATCATCTTTAATCAAGAAAAATAAGGACATGAAATTTTTGACATTTAAAACATTCTCAATTCCATGAATCCTTGATTCAAAGATCGTGATGAGGGTAGGGGGTCGGGGGATGGGACTTAAATAGGTATAGTGCATATTTTTGGCTTTCACATGTCAAAATTTCATGTGGAAAATGTCAATTGATTGATGGATTGAGTTTTTCCTGGAATATATGCCTGTTTAAACATGACCAAATATTTGAAAAATTAATCTAATTTCAAAACCTATATAATACCTGTGTTCTTCCCTTATTTTTGTTAAGATATTAAAATAACAGACCTAAAACACTTACCAGAGTATCTCACATACTGTATTAACAATACATGTTTGTTATTGTTATTATGCAATTTTTAATTAAAACAGAGTCTTAGTTTTTAACATTACGGATTATGTGAAGGCTCTGGAACCCAACAGCCTGGGTTTAAATCCTCAAAGTACCACTTACTGGCTATGTGTCTTTGAGATCGTTCTTCTTTAAAATGGGGGTATTCATAGTACACACCTCAGAGATTTATTATAAAATCTCTAAATTGCTCTCTTTATTATAAAATCTCTAAGTTGCTAAAATCAGTTTAGTTAAAAATATAAAGCAACTATAGTAAAGCTGGAAACGCTGAAAATGCTCCAGGTTAGCTATTATCTATAGCACTGCCTCCCAACAGAAATATAATACAAACCACACAACAACTAACACACTTCAGGCGCTCAATAGCCACATATGACAAGTATCTAATGTATTAGGCATCACATATTTTTTAAATGACAGCTCAAAATCTTGTATCAATAACCAAGTAATTCATATTTCTGACACATTTATTCTTTTTTAATAAAGATCTAATTTTGTTAAAACATTAAGAAAGAAAGAACACTTTTGATTTTATCCCTTATGTTGGATTGCTTATACTTTAAAAAAAAAATGTAAGAAAGGAAAATAGAGGTTTTAATACTCTTATTAAAGAAACAACTGTTAAAGTTGTAAATTTCTACTCCTCCTCCTTCATGATTTTTTGGTTCCTAAGTAATACCCAGACACCTAGTACTTCCAGTACTCGAGTATAAAAAAGACTGATAGGGTCAGTGAATAGAAAGAATATAAATCCTGGGAAGATGATCTAAGATGGCTTAGATGTCCCTCATTGTTCTGGGAATTCAGGGTCTTTGTAACAAGACATCTGATCTACAGGATCTCTAATCATTTAAGTGCTGCATTCTATGGGGAAAAATTCTAACATTTCAAATAAAGATAAACTTGAAAAAAAAAAAAAAGATCCCATGTCACTCATCAATACCAATATCCTCACTGTAAGTAATAAGCATTTTACTAAGGCCATTACAAAGGGCTACTAAATTACTTCTTATATTTGTGTCATTAAAAGCTGTCCTTGCATAGCCACATGACATGTCAGTAAACATCTTGAAAAATATTGCATCCTAGATGCATACTGCATCCAGTTTTTCCAGCAAAAAGTATAAAACAGGATAAACTACATCCTCAAAAGTTTCTGAAATGTTATTTCCTATTACTGTCCCTGAATCACTATGTTGTTGCATTAAAACTATGCATTTTTAGTTGGCTTTAGCAGAATTTTTTAACTTAATACTTCAAGTTAGTAAGGAACTAAAAAAGAGGTCCCATTTCTTCAAAAAACAAATCATTATTTCTTTGGGCTTTTTTCTGCAAACAACCTTTAGCCTACCTAGATGTTGTATTCATCATACTAAGTATGGTAATCACTGGAAACAAGAGAACTTGTTTAAACTGTTAGGTGTCTTCTATCATCTTCTTGAGAGTTTATTTTTGTTTAGCTGCTGTTATAACATACTTAGATTTTGGTCAAATTCAATTAATATATAATAAGTCAAGACTTTTCACTGTAAAAGATAATTAACTGTCTTTTTCAATTATAGAACTCCTTTATACTCTTAGTACACTTAAAATATTCTACTTCCTAAATGAAGTACAAACTTTTTTGAAGTACAAATTTTTAAAAGGGAAATTCTTCAGCATATCTTCACAAAATCTGCTACCAACTATACCTTTGGTTGTAGTAACATCATGTGACTAGAAGTGATACTCCCTCCAATACTTAGATTGTATGTTTAATAACTACTTTTATATAATCTCTGTGGACATGTAATCCATTAGGCTTTTATCTATAGATTTTTCTTCATTATTTTGCATACTTTATTTCAGATCTTCCTTGAAACAAAGGTAAAGCAATCGAAACCTGCAGTATGACTTCACTCATGAATGCAGAACTTCCTCCTTACATCAACATGAGAAACATGGCTGAAGGCAGAAATGAAGATCTCTGAAACACTAAGAGCCTGCATTTCAATCTCCATTTCCACTGCCTATAAGACACTCTAACACATTCCCTAGCCATTTCTTCTCATTGGTCTTTGCTCTTTATCCAGTCATCATTTTGGATGACCTCAAGATTCTGCTCATAAACATCCAAATTTACAAGCTCAGCCTTCTTGATTCCCAAGGTCTGTCTCCCTCCTTAGCCACATCTTAACTTCATTATTATCTGGACCAACTCCACTGCCAAATTCAGCATGTTTCAACTCCCACTCTCAATACAACTTCCTTGTCTCAGAATTTCTTTTATTGTTAGTGAACCATCAACATAGTACAGTAGTAATGCTTGCTGTTTCTGCTCTCTAAAGCCATCAGTCACCTCCTGACTCAGCTATAGTTATAATTACTCAAGACCCACTTTCTTATTACACAGATCCATGAGCCTATAATCAAGCACACCTTCTGTGCCCACCACTTGAATCTTACCTCCTAACTCTTCTTATTGCTCAGTCCATGGCTCTGAGTATTGCTAGAAAAATCTGTGAAAACATGACCATTAGTCTTTCCTTGACATATTTATGATGTCTACCTTTAATGGTTCATTATCACTAATCCATGATCCTTTTTATCTTATATAACTGGCTCTTGGCTTTCTAAACTATTTCTATGAAATCCTTTTAGAGCAGATGACCACTCCTTCTTGATACTATTATCCTCTCTCTAAACAATTTATGGTCCAAAGTTCTATATTTTAACTGATGATCTTTCTTTCCTCCCAGTTCAGAGGAAGAGCCTTTTCCTCTGGTTTCTTCAATGCTATAAGAACATTTCTTTGGCTCTTTTTACTCCTACAAACTACAACTTTCCCATATTCTTTCAATACATTTTCTAAAATTATAGCCCATGCTAGCTGGCTTATCATTCTCCTGAACTACGTGCACAGGATTTAAATAACAACCTCACTCAACCCTGAACCGTATATTCTCCTGGCTTCCATACCATTTACAACTCTATTTTTATATTCCCTAACCACTTTTTCCCATTCTCCTCATCAGCTCCTCTCTGGGCAGTAAGGCACCTCCTTCTCACATGCCCCCATCAAACTTGGACTTCTATTGCATAGTTGAGAGAACTGGAGTAATGATTATGGATAAAGCACTTGAAAGTATACTATTTAGTCTTAAGACTCCAATCAAACTTACCTCCACAAAAAAGGTTCATCTGACCTACCCAGAAAGGGGCAGCCTCCCATAATGCCTTATATGTATCTAACACAGATTACACTGAATGGCTAGTTACCTCGTACTAGGGCCAGATCATGGTATGGCGATATTTCCTAAGAAAATATAGTCACCCCTGATACCCCCACCTTATCTATCTCTCACAGCGCCATCAAATTAATCTTTTCTAAATCCCATATTGATTATCCCATTCTTTTCAGAAACTAACAATTTTGCCTTCCCGTAACACACACCAAAATTTAAGCTCAGCTCTTAAACCCTATATATGGCCAAAACTACCAATCTTCTAATACCTTCTAAGAACCATCCATTTGCCTTATTCTAAAAATATATACAGTACTTTCTACCACCTTGTGTCCTCTACTCAAGTTCATTTATAGGACTGCTAAGTAACGATTGTGTGATTCTTCCTTAGCTCAGGCAGTATTTTCTAAGTCAAGCCATCCATCTGAAACTGCTTTCCTTATCCAGTCAGCAGAATGACACTACATTTAATCCACATTGAATACACGGGTATATATATAATTTCCCGAAAGGACGGTGAAGCCAGTGATAAAGATGACATTTTAAAAAAGTCTGAAACCCTCACTATAAGTGACAACATCTTTATTACCATCAACATTTATTATGTGCCAGGTGCTGCTACAAATGCTTTATAACGATTCTATGGGATATGTACTACTATTTTTCCTATATACAAATGGGAAGCCAGGGTTATAGAGGCCTTCACAGATATTTGAACAAAATGGGTACAAAATAATACTGGTAAATGAATAAATGTATTACTAATAACTATACTCTGATGCTGTCACACAAATTAATCCATCAGCTTATGATGCTTTCCCCACTCTTCCCAGGCAAGCAAAATCCTCCCAGCCTTTCAGACACAACTGAAATGTCACCTGTTTAAGAAAGTCTCCTCAACGTTTAGAAGAAAGAAGGAAGAAAGGAAAGAAAAAGAAAAAAAAATAAGTAAGTTAGTCTCCTGCTAACACCTTGGCAAAATTATTTGCTCCTTCTATGAATTGTCTTTAATACTTAGAATGTATCTTTATTATAACACTGAAGTTTTTTTGAAGTTACTCAAGTAGAATGGGTTTATGATGACAATTCAATATTTTTAATTCTTGAAAGAACTGGAAAGCAAAGTGAATATAATTTGCTTCTGATGAACAAATGAAATAAACAGAAATGGTATATATAATCATTAGCAATAATTGGTAATCATACTCAGAATCATTTCTGTAACTTTTAGTACATCTATGACATTGTAAGGTCTGGTATAGCTAAACCTAATTCAGAAGGTTCAGTCTTTTAATATGTTCAAACAAAGCTTTATTCTTAAAAAATGGGGAACAGACTTACCAGTCTCCTCCTTTCTTCTTCTACTGCAATGAGTAATCTTGCAAATTCCTTTAGTGACTGAGCTATTTAGAAGATTAAAAAAAAAAAAAAAGCATTAACCTCTTTTCATCGCTAATTTTAATTGCATAGGAATAAACAGTACAATGAAGCTGGTTATAAATGTGTATATATTCTGTGGCTTTATGCTTCTATAAGCATAGACCAGTATACACGGTAGTATCTCAATGGCTAATAGCTATAGATAACATATTTGTGTACTGCAAATTAAAGTCTAGCACACACAAAGTATATTTTTTCTTCAAAGATGCTAGGGAAATACAGTTTATGTATGTAATGTACAAAACTTAATAAATAAGTTTACTACTGAAATTGCTTCTAAACAGAATCCTACAAATAATGAATATATTAAACCTCTAAGAAGCAATAAATCCAGCACTATTTAGATGTACTTAGTAGCAGCCAGTAACACAATGTCTCCCACTGACTTCTGTCCAGAAGCACAGCAGTTATAGATATTTAAAACCAGATCTGTATTCTGTATTACTCCAGTATCAAGGTAGTTTAGTCTGTGAGTCATCAGGATGGCCAGAAGGACTACCATCATCAGCAACTGGGGAGTTCTCAGAAATACAGATTCAAGCCTCACTCCAGAGTCTGCATTTTAATAGGATCCTCAGGTGATCCATTTGCATACTGAAGTTGAGAAGCACTGCTTTACTTTTTTTCCTTTTTTGTTTTTGTTTTTTTTTCAAGTTTTTAATTTAAATTCCAGTTAACAGAGTGTTTTGTTAGTTTCAGGTGCATAGTTTATTGATTCAATACTTTCATACAACACCTGGCACTCATTACAAGTTCAGAGAGCTCTCTAGAGCAGGGCTTCTCCCCAGTCAGATGGAATAAGCCCTGCTCTAGAGAGCTCTCTGAATTCTTATTGCTCTAGCCAGCGGCAAGTATCAAATACTCAGAAACACTGGAAGAATAAAGCAAAAAATAAACTGGGAGTTACAACAGCATATTTTTTAAAAATGCAGGGGCGCCTGGGTGGCTCAGTGGGTTAAAGCCTCTGCCTTCGGCTCAGGTCATGATCCCAGGGTCTGGGATCGAGCCCTGCTTCCCTTCCTCTCTCTCTGCCTGCCTCTCTGCCTGCTTGTGATCTCTGTCTGTCAAATAAATAAATAAATAAAATCTTTAAAAAAAAAAAAATGCATAGTCCCAAATGGCAGTTGTAAAACAGTAATTCATCCATATCAATTTCTGTATCTTATGCTTCATAATTAAAGTTGGAATGTTTTGACTACAAAACTAACAAAAAAAATAAGGTGAATGCAAAAATTATTTCCATTTAAGCTTTGAAATTTCCTTTCATGTCTTTATTCTTTAGGCTCCCTACCATTTCCTTTCTACCTATACTAATATTAAAAACATTCTGTAAGACCAGAAGTCTAGTAACTCTGGCATAAAGCCTACAATAAAGGCAGGTAAGTGAGGAAAATAAATCGAGAGTCTCATAACAGTACTTATTAAGAAAAATATTTTTTTCCATTCAGGTTTTTGAAATTACAATCTAGGGTTTTTCCCTCCACTCTTTTTAAAACTACTAGGCCTACACTAACTAACCTGATTTGAAATGCTATCCCTATGATTACTTCACATTGGATTTTACTCACAGTTGCCAAAAGAGAAATCAAAGGATTACCTGAGAGACTTAGATTAATCTGATAAACACATTAATGACCTTAGAGGAAATATAACTTTTTTTAATTTAGGAAAATGAGATTTTAATTTCTACAAAAATAACAATAACTGCTAAAATACAACACAGTTGTGACAACAATAAGTTGAACAGAAAAACATTCTACAAATATATAAATGTTTTAGCTGGAATATATAATAGAATATTGTATTTTTATACTTTGGGTAAAGAAAGCATTCCATCATCCTGGCAGTTTTGTTTTTTGTTTTTTGTTTTTTGTTTTTTTTTTTTTTTATTGCTACTAAAGAACTCTATTGGTAAGCCTGAAAAAAAAAAAAGTCAATAAAATTTTGGACAATGGAAGGTAAATCATTTTGGACTATAGGAATTAGAAGCAGCAGGTACTCCTGAAGGTGAGAAAATAAGAGATGAAAGAAAGTTGATAGTAAGTTTAAAGTCTGTATAATAAGCACTTAAAACCCCAGAGTTCAAACTCAATGCCTCCCAAGCTTTTTATTTAAAAACAAAACAAAACAAACTACCAACTACCCTCATATGCTGCTTTTATGGGAAGCTACTGGATAAGGCACTCTACTAAAACATGAGAATAAACCAAGAAAAGAGGATATGGGACCTAGAAGTAGGAGATCCAATTATAGTATGGAAGCAAATGAAATGCTTATGTCAAGAGTGATATTCCAGGTCAACTGCTGTGCATGCAAAAGGTTCAGAGGGGATCTTATCTAGATTGGAGCAATAGATTACAGACTCCAATAAATGTCTCCAGACAATAATAATAGAACTGATCGATATCCTGATGTATCTGAATGTAAGGAAAGGAAATTTATACTCTTTTAAAAGAAAATTCAAAGGCAATTATTAATTCCTGGGAAAACAGCTATATATGTAACACCATCAAAATAAAATAACTTAGTCATATTACAAACAAAGTCACCATGATATAAACATAACAGTAAAAAACGAAAAGAGGGTATACAAGACTCAGGAAAAAGTCAAATGTTAGCCAGATAATTATGATCTTGAAAGAAACAGAAGAATTGGCTAAAAGTTCAAAGTGGTCTTTGTGAGTAGTTAAGTGGCAAAGCTTGTAAGATGAGAGGTTGCTAGTTTTTATTAAGCCTGATAAAAAATCTTTAGCTTTTTTTAAATAATGAAAAATAAAACATACTATAAATGCTTTATTTTCCTACTAGACTTAATTTTAGGAGGCTAAATTCATGAACTAATTTTCCCAAAGAGTTAAGTAAATACCTAGCACAAAGAGCCTGACAAAAAGGTTTTTCATTTTGTTTTGTTTTTATTTTATTTTATTTTTGACAACAGGTATTTTTGGAATAAAGGAAGATGTAGCTTGATTTAGAGTGTCAGTGATACAACAGAACCTTCCACTTAGTCAATCCAGGAGGCAACCACTGTCTCATGGAGTAGTGTCCTAGTAGTCCCAGGAATATCATCCTATAACAACTTGGAAGTCCAAAGGCTTCCCCAAGTAATTACTACTTCAAGAGTAAATTGTGCAGATGCCTTAAGTCAGATTTTGGTTTTAAGTAAAGAAACTCAGATTCTCATTTTAATATTGTTGTACCTCTTTGTCTAAAATTAATGATGCTGTTTCCTGTTTAACTTGAATGGTTTTCTGGTCTGTTTCCCATATAAATACTATTTATAGACTCAGTACAGTAATAGTTTATTATAATGAGAATGTCTGAGGAGAAAAATTTGAACATGATGCATGTCTGGTTCTTCACAATAAAAACTACTTTCCCTCCAGCAGTTTTTTGGGTCTTCCCCAATTTGAAAATAAGTTCTGTTTCTTCTTTTTCTTTTGTTGATTTTTCAGGGAAATTACTTCAAAAAATGAAATTTATTCTATATACAGTATAGTCTCAGTTCCATAAAAGTATGTTTCTTAGTCCAAATGAAGATATTCATGTTTGTCATTTATCTTACATGGAAAGGAACAGCTAGGAACACCATTTCATCCATTAGTAACAGCAACCTACTAACCTTTTCAATCCATATCTGATGCTTTCCCCTAAGTCTTTTTATTTTTAATGTCAAAGTATTGCATTAATAGTTTACAAAGCACAATATAACACAGAAATAAAACAGGAATTAACAATCCTATAAAGCAGATATTAAACAATTCCAAGTATTGTATGAGATGGGTTTTAGGGCAAAGGGCAGATAGATAACCGATCACTTCCTAGCCTGGCCCATGCTCAAACTCTAAAGGAACCTCTGACAGAAGTCAGGTAGATTCAAGCTGCCTACCATACCCCCAGCAACTCCTCATAGATGAGAAGCCAGTATTAGAATTTCTGGTACCTAGGACCAACAAATGCCTTAAAAGACCATGAAAACTTGTAGAGAGTCTATTCCCCATCAGGCCTTGGGCACAAAACACACAAAAGGACTCCTCCAGCACCCATCACACTGATGTTGACTGCTTGGGCAATATCTTCTAAGACTTTACTTAAGTAAAATCTAAAAATATTTTGTATTACATGCAAATTCTAATACCCAATACTTTCTTTTATAAGCAATTATATGTGATGCTCCATACCTTGTTTATCAATGTTAATATTTACATAAATAACCATTTCATTATCTGATTTTGGAGATCCAGACTAACATCAAATTTAACAGCTGGTCTTACAAACATAGATTCTGCCCATACCTAGTTGGTATGACGGGAGCTTAATTAAGTGACAGCAATATCCCAAAAATAATATTTAATGCACAGTGGACTTTCAATAGATGGGATCATTAAATGAATTAATGAGTTTAATAATATATTTCCACAATCTATTTGCTATACACAGAGAAACATACCAACTCATATGCTAGGCTTCATAAAATATTTTTAAAAGGATAAGCTAGATACTTTGGAAAATTATGTTAGCTATACGCGTTCTTGCCACCTGCATGAAACTTTCCTGGCTGTATTCACCAGTAATAATCTTTCCCTTTCCTGGCCATCTGGACCATGAGATTACTGGAGAGCAATCAAAATTCCATTTCATATATAGATGTTAACTTTGCAACAAGTTATTGAGGTTAAGAACACTGCTAAAATTCCCTTTTCATCTCTCCAATGTGATATTGGAAAAACACTTTTGGAACAATAGAAATTTATTATTCAGGTGTATTTAATGACAGATCCCAAGAGTAAAAACATTCAGAAAGACAACAGCTAAAATATATCTACACAGTGAGGAAGTAGGATAATGGCTTCTATATTTACTAATATCATAAATTCTAAAACATTCCTGAATTGTCTAAAATATCTACTTCCTAACTCAATCTTTTCAGCAGGCTTAAGTTCACTTGACTACTTTTGACTAT